AGCACCGCGCAGCAGTCCAGTGCCTGCAGAGGCCCGGGTGGTGGCAGTGGGACACGCGTCCCTCCTGGAGCCCCCAGCACACCCCGGCCAGCGCACTGCGCCACCTCTCTGCGTGCGTCCTTGAGCCGAGAGCACGTGCTGTTGGCGGGAGCGAAGCTGGCTTGACACTCAGAGCTCAACCTGCAAACGCGAGCTCTTCCTGGGCCTCGCGCTGAGGTGCCCCCCACCCCTCATGCCTTCTGCTCCCAGACACCTGCTGCAGCTGGGCAGGAATCCCACAGCGTGTTCCCGGACAGCAGCAAGTTTTTTCAAAGGCCAGGACTTTTTAGTCTTTTTTACTTTTTGGCAAACCAAAACATTTTTAGCCACCTGGATGAGCAGCTTTTAAAGTGACATTGTTATTCTTTCCACCCAAATAATGATTTAGAGCAAGGGTTGGCAATTTCCATGCACAGCCTGAATCCAGGAAGCTGCCCGCTGCTATAAATAAAGTTTTATTGGCACTGAGCCATGGCCTTTTGTTCACAGATTGTCCACAGCTGCTTGACCATTTAAACATTGAGGTTGAATAACTCTGACCTCAGTAACACAGCCCTCGAGGACTCTGACACTGTGAGGCCTTTTAAGAAAATGTTTGCACACCAACTTTTTTTTCCTTTTTTCTTTTTTTAAATTTTCTATATTTGCTACAGGGTCTCACTACGCAGCTCAGACTTGTAGTGATCCTCCTGTTTCAGGCTCCCCAATGCTGGGATTATGCATGCCCAGTCTTGGTGGCCAGCCCGAGCACCCAGGGTGGGGCCAACACGGTCTGAGGTACTAGGGATCTGGGGTCCTTATGCTTACCTAGGCAGGTGCTTAGACTGCTGAGCTATCTCTGGGGCCCCTGCACCCCTACTTTAAGGGAACCAAAGTTAACCCCAAAATCAAGGCAGGAGAGCGACAAGTGTTACCACAATGTTCAACTCCTGCGAAATCTTGCAATCTGACTAAGATAAATGCATGTGGAGATGCCACGGGCTGGGCTACCACCCAAGACTTCGCAGGAGCATGAGATTCCTGCTCAACCTTGTTACCTGCAGCCTGGATGGAGAGTGGGCTGGGAGCAGGCAGACAGGACTCTGCTGTGTCTTCATGGATGTCCAGAGGCGCCTCCATCTGCAGGTATGCAAGCTACATGCCACACTGCCCTCTGCGTCCTTGTAAGAATTCACTTTTACATGCAAGTCTTTAACCCACCCTGATTTCCAGGTGCTTTCTACTACCAATCAATGCAAAGGCTTGCATAACATTCATCTAAGAAAACACATTTCGGCAGTATACGCTCCCCTGTGGCCCAGCTTCTTACCTGACGTACACGCCCAAGTCCCTGAAGGACCACAGCCTCTTTATTCACACAGCCCTAAACTAGAAACAGCCTGCAGACCACTGACAGGCCTTAATTAAAGCAGAGCAGAGCCAGGTGCAGAGTGCGCACACATTGTGTGGCTGCCCGGGACACAGTGTGGGTGGACACGAGTGGACTGAAACCCATACAGGGACCCAGAAGGGCAGAGACAGCCACACAGGGAGGCCCTGTGATGCGGCCACTGCGCCCATCTCAGCCTGGGCGATGCTTACACACGTAGATAGGTCTCTGCTTACACACGTAGATAGGTCTCTAAACCCACCCAACTCTACCCTTAAAATATGGAAATTTTCCTGCACACAAATCAGTAAAACTGTTCTTTAAAAAAATCACAGTTTTAGCTAGGCATGGTGATGTAGGCCTGCAATCCCTGCACTCAGGGGCTGAAGCAGGAAGATCATTGTTGAGTTTGAGACCAGCCTGGGTTGTGAAGTGAGCTCAACTCCAGCCTGAACTGCATAGCAAGACCCTCTGTTTTTTGTAAAAAAAAAAAAAAAAAAAATCACAGTTTTAAAAGAGTAAATAGTAATGGGGAAAACATTCTGTGCCTCACGCATGCCGCAAGCAAGCTACCACTGAGATGCAAACGTCCTCAACTCCAGCAATTATTTTATGAGCAAAAATGTTTTTCAGAAATATCTGTGACCTAAACTGTGTGTGGTGGCCCATGCCTATAATCCTAGCACTCAGGAGGCTAAGGCCGAAGAACCAATTCAAGTTTGAAGCCAGCAGGAACTACCCAGTGAGACAATGTCTTAAAAACAAAAACAACAAAAAAAAAACCTAACAGGGCCAAGGATGCAGCTCAACAGCATAAGCACTTGCCTGGCAAGCACAAAGTCCCGAGTTCAATCCCAGTACTGAAAAACCAAAAAAAAAAAAACCAACCCAACGTGTGTGGCATGCTTTCTCTCTGCTAAGTGCTTGAGAGTGCCGGGTGTAAACTTCACAAAGACAGCAGCCATCCTCCTGCCTCAGCCTCCCAAGTGCTGGGATTACAGGTGTGCGATCATGCCCAGATCCACATACCACTCCTGAACGCCCAACACACACACACGCACACACGCACGCACGCACGCACACAGGGGTGTGCCTCTTGGCCCAACTCTCAAAGAACAAATCCAGAGCGTACCTACTGCTGCGCAGCAACCAGGGCACAGCCTAGCTACGGTTTTGCTGTTTTCAGGTTCGGCTAGTGACCCACTTCTAGGAGCCACCCTCCACCCCCGGCTTCCTGTTTTCAGTCTGCCCTACTTCTGACAGACCAGGCTGGGCAGTGCTTCTGGCTTAGCTTCCTCCACCTAGAAACTCTGTCCCTCAGATGCCTGGCCCCACCTCTGCGGCTGGGGTGCATGGTGGCCCCCAGGGTGCGTGCCTGGTCCACAGCCTGTATCTTGCAGCACACCATGCTCCCCTGGAGCCAGCAGCTCTCAGCTTTCATAAGTTTTTCTAGGAGCTTCCGGCAGGGGCAGCACCCCCTACCGGTCTGGGGGGCCAGGGATGCCTTCAGCTCCTCCCAAGGCCCTTCCACTCGGGCCAGCCCTCGCCCATCCAGCTCCATCCAGACGCGCCCGAGTGGGGCCTGAGAGGCTACCGCTAACTGCATTAAACATGCTGGGAGCTGGCTCCAAGTTGGACCTGACTGACCTCAAGCACAAACGTGATGATAATCTAACTGTGGCCTAACTCCGTCGGGGGCCGCAAAGTGAGGGGGACAAAGCAACCAGCACTGCTGTCTGTCTGTATTCCCAACCCAGTGTTTCCTAGCTGAGCACTCTGGATGGTTCCAGGAGCGGCCCACCACCCAGCGTGGCCAGGGAGGGAGCCCCGACCTGGCACGTCACTCTTGAAGCTTCCAATGGACCGGCCTGGAGGGTCTACACACTTGGTGGGGCGGAGTGAGGCAAGAGCCTGGCCAGGCACTGATGGCATCAGAGAGACAAGAACCGGGCAGCAGGGCCTGGCGGGGGACAATGGAAGGAGACAGGTCTCAAATGCTGCTGCTGCTGCTGCTAAACCCAAGCTAAAACCACCAAGGGCTGGGCACAGATCTGAGGCTGCCCCTTAACATTCACCCAACCTCACAACCCAGCATCACAGAGCACCACAGGCCCTGTCACCCACGGGAGGCCAAGAGCATCTGGGGGCCAGGGTGAGGTGCACACCACAGTGCTTGTGTAGCACACAGGAAGTTCTAGGTTCATCCCTAGCATCTCAAATCGAAGGCCTAGCAAACTGTGAACCCCTGCCTAGAGAACCTGCCCTCCACCACTGCCACCCCCAGTCGCAGCCCTCCAGATGTCTGTCCTCCTTCCAAGGTCCCCAAAGCCTTTGAAAAGTTAACAGATACCGCTCCCCACGCCAGGCTCACCCCCATCCTCCTCACCAAGACCCGTTTTCCTGCCTGCACATGGGGCTCCTGGCATTTCACCCCTCTTCCTGCCCACACAGCTCTCCCCATGCGTGTAGAACCCCCATCTCTCCAGGCCTCTGGTCAGTCACCACAATGCCAGTGTACACGAGCTGGATGCCAGCCCAGCCCTCTGAGAATCCGGTCCATCAGACTGGCTCATCCCTGCATGGAGAACATTTTATTGCTGTAAGGACTTCGCCCTACACCCTGAACCAGGCCTAGGACCCTACCTGGCCCGACCCAACAGGCTCCGAAAAACTTCCAGGGCCTGGGCATGCAACTCAGTGGCAGAGCTTGGGCTCAGCCTGCCTGTAGGCCTGGGCTCCTTCCCCAACACTCAACAATCAACCACAAAAACAAAAATACAAATTACACAACAGGGAATGAATGGAATTGAACCGCCCATACTGGCGGGCCAGCTGCCTCCACCTCCCATGAGGCGCTGTCCTGTAGCCTCCGCTCCTTGGCAGGCTCAGATGGCAGTTCTTCCATCTGCCCCTTATCACCTTCCTGCCACCAAACAGCTTGGCAGAAGGCAGCCTGTGTGTCCCTGTCCCAAACCTGCCACAGTGCCAATTGGGGTGTGTCCTTGCTACGTTTATCTAAATTGTGCTTCTCCCAGCACTGAGGTCCTCCGCAGGGCTCGGAGATAGCCTGTGGCCCACGTCACGCCTGAGCAGCAAGCTAATCCCCCCGGGACAGGCGCTCCTCCTCAAGTTCTCTGCCACAGAGGTCCCGGCCTGCCAGGGCTTCTTCCGGGCCTGCGTGCTTGGTGCTTGGGTACTCTGAGCCCGAGGTGACTCCTGGCAGCCCCCATCTCCGCCCATAACCAATCTGGCCACACTGTGCTCAGGCTAGCAGGCTCTGCTTCCTGACCCGAGGCCGACCTCATGCGGGTCTCTCGCCTGCCTGCCGGTCCGCGGGGCTTATGGCCTCCATCGGCCCCTTCCCCTCCACCGGCCCTCAGGCATCTCCTCCGGACTCGGTCATCCGGTCACTGGTCACGGGAGTGCAGCGTGTGAAACGCTGGGACCTGCCCCTGACATGTGCAGCGCCGAGGACTCCACACCTCCGGTCCTCACCCCGGCCCGGTGCCCGTCTCCCCCGGCCCTCGCCCTCGCGGTCCCGGGTCCACTCTGCCCGGCCGGTCCCGTCCTGTCCGGTCCCGGGCTGCGTACTCACCCGCGCCGGGCCCCGGGCTCCGCCACCAGCGCAGCAGGGCGCGCGCGGGCTCCAGACTCACGGCGCAGCGCTGCTGCTTCACCCACAGCTCCGAGCTCAGCGGCCCCGCCGTCCCCGGCGCCCCCATCGCGGGTCCTGCGGGCCGGACCGGGCCGGACCGTTACGGCCGCGGCCGGGCGGGCGCAGCGGGGCGGGGCGGCGTGCGTCAGCGCACGCAGGGGCGGTCCGAGGGACAAAGAGAGGGCGGGGGCGAGGAGGGGCTGGGGCCGGCGACCCCGGAAGGGCTCCGGTGGCGTACGGAGGAGGGGCGGGGGCGGGGGACCCCGGAGGGGCGCGAGCTCGCGGGAGGCCGCGGCAGAAGGGCTGTGGGCAGGGCGAGGGGTCGGAGCAGGAGACCTAGGGGTGCGGCTCTGGCCGGGGCCTCGGTCCTCTCCTGCTGTCGCTCACCCGCAGGGCCAGCGCGGCTGGCGGGGGTGGGCGGTGCAGAAGGGCTGTTGGGCCGCAGGGCGGGGATGGGGCGGTGCGGAGCTGTGCCCGGAGGGGGGCACCCAAAGGGGCCTGACCTTGGGCGGCCTCTCCAGTGGGCTGGGTAGGGATCTGTAGGCCCCTAGGGCACAGCAGGTCAGGAGGCTTACTGGAGGGGCCGCCTCTGCCAAGGGCGACTTTGGCCGGGGAACTGGGGTCCCACAGCCGACTGTCCCCTAAGGCAGCCTCGGGACCCGAGTCCCTGAATCGGAGCCCTTTGCAGGGTCAGGCCTCGGCGAGCATGTGGCTCGCCTCCCCTGTACCCAGGCAGGCCCGTCCTCCAAGGTGCTCCGGGTGGCTGTGGATCAGCCAGCCAGCCTTTCCCCTCTAAGCTGCTGCCCCGGCTGTGCAGACCGGGCTTGCCCACACTAGATCCTGGTGTCCGAGGTCACGTACGGGTGGGCCTGTCGATCCCTAGGCTACTACTGAAGAGTCTGAGATTCAGGTAGATGACTTGTCGAGAGTGCGGGCCTCCGAGGACAGAGCCAGAGCACTCCAGGGTCTGGCTCCAGGCTGGCCAGATCCGCCGGACCCGGGTCTCTGCTCTCTGCACAGCTCCGCTGCTGTGACAGAGGCGGGGTGGGCCAGGTCCACGAAGCCTTACTGCTGTGGCTGGCGCTGGTGGCTACACGCACAGGTCCTACCCTGCCAGCTCTCTGTGACCCTCGGCGGGGCAGGAGCCACAGTGAATCACTGCACCCTGGGCGCCCAGGCCCCACCTAAGGCTTCTGGCTTCCTGCAGCTTCTGCTGGGCAGTCAGCCCTGCCCCACCCTGTGCAAGCGGGGCCTCATCGCCCTCCCACAGGCCTGCACCTGGCTTGGGAAATGTGAATGTGAAGCTTGTTCGTGGGTAGGGTTTTGGAAATGGCAGCCTCCTGTGGTCAGGGCCTTTGTCCCTGTGTTCATTTGTCCAGGATGGATCCCCACATTGGCCATGAAGTCCCTAGCTAGATTGGAGGGCCCAGAGAAGACTCTGCCTGTCTCAGCCCTCCATGTTGGTCACAGAACACTAGTGGGTCCTAAGTGGCCCCGGGTGAGGAGCTGAACCGTGACCCCTCCCACCATAAAACCCCAGGACACATGCACAGAGGTGTACCGAGGGGCAGCCACGTGCCAAAGCCTTAGGAGGTGGCATCTGCCAGCATCGAGACAGTAATCCTGCAGCCCCTCCATCCGGGACCTGGCCTGTGAGAACTGGAATGTGAGGCCCTCCTGCCTGGGCATCTTTGCCCAGGGCTCCCTGGGGAGGGACCTGGGGTGCAGGCCTCCGGGGCCAGGGTGGCCAGATGAAGGCCATACTTTCCCTGGACTCACCTTCTGCACATGAACAGGATGAGGCCTGAGCACACGACTGGGAGGGACAGATGCAGGGCCTACTTTTTGGGTCCCCCGAGCCTGTCAGGAGGTGTTGGTGAGGGTGACTGGCAGGGGGACCAACAGGAGCCTTGAAAAAGCTGGTGTGAGCATGGCATGGTGGTACATGCCTGTGGGCCTGACACTCAAGAGGCTGAGTCAGGAGGATCACTGGGACAGATACCAGGAGATCTTCTCCACCCTCACCCACTTCATGCCCTGTGGCCCTTGTCACCCAGGGGTGCCTTTCCTGCCTCTGCCCTGTCCTGGGCACAGCTGGCCCCACTGCCCTGCATTGCCAGGTGGACCAGAGGCTCGTGAGTCAGGCCCTGCCTTGCACCTGCCCCTGTCGTGTGCCCAGCTTCCAGCCTGAGACTGCTGCCCAGCGCCTGGTGCTCCAGGCACGCCAGACTGGATATGTGCCCTGCTGTTGTGTCGAGCACCCTGTGCCTCAGTGTGCAGGCTCTTTGCAGAGCACTGCTGGGACCCCGAGGGCTTGTCTAGGCACCCACACTGTCACCTAACACCCAGTCCCCCCCCCACGGGCCTTCCACTCCCCCTCTTCCTGGCTCTGCTCTCCTGTGCTGGATTGTCTTGCCTGCTTATCTCTCCTGCTTCCTGCCCCACAGGGTCAGCATAACCATATGACATCAGGAACTGGGACTCTGCGGGGTGGAGGAGGGGACCCAGCTCACTGCACCCTTCACACTTGAGGAGGAGCCTTCTAAGCACTGCCCGTCAGAGTCGACTGCCTATGAGAAATGTCCTGGAAACCAGGTCTGGTGGCGTACACCTGTAATCCCAGTCCTGGGAAGGCAGAGGCAGGGGAATCACCATGAGTTTGAAGCCAGCTTGGGTTACACAGTGAGTTCAAGGTCAGCCTGGATTATGTAGTGAGACCTTGTCTGAAATATCAAAACAAAATAAAAATATACATCCTCACCTTGCCAGTGTGACCCAGGCAATAACCTTTGGAAATGTGTTATTTATTTTTACAGAAATAACTGTAAAAGACGAAGGCTCCCAGAACAAAACAGACTTGTGTGAGTTACAAAGAAACAAATGAGCAGGGTGAATGCTCCAGGCTACCCCTGGGCTACGGGGTCCCCCTGCCACGGGATGCTCTGAAATGACCACAGCCAAAAGCTCCAGCCAGGGCCCTTTGTGTGCAGTGCTGCTTGGGCTGATAGGACAGGCACCCACCCTTATGGGCACACATGGCAGCCCCGCCTGACTTGACCACCCATCTGGCAAAGTTCAGGGTCCAGGCAGAAGGGCGGGCTGGCCCTCAGGAGTGGTGCCAGGGAGCGGGTCTGAGCTGGCAAAGGTACTGAGGTGGGACTAGAAGGGAAGGGTGCCAAGGCAATGCCAGGGATCAATCAGGCTGCTCCTGGGGTCAGAGAGCAGCATCATTCCGGGACGAGGCCCCCAGGCCAGGCTCGACTTGGGTGGTCTGAACCTGCAAACTCCCATACCTGCTGAAGTCACCTGCTACCATGATGGGCCACTGTGCCCTGCACTGGCTGGGCATGGGCATTTGCTCCTGCAGTCCTCCTAGGGTGACCTGTGGGCAAGGCACAGAACTACCAAGGAAGAGGACCCTGGGTCTGAAGTCTGGATTCCTCTCCACACTGGAAGCATTCTAGAGTGGCTCTGGCCTGCTGTCCCTAGAGAGGACATGGCCCTGTGAGAGAAAAAGCCTGCTCCTGATGGAACTCAGGCACTCAGGGCAGGAGGAAGTGTCCTTCCCTCCCAATCCCTGCAGCTGAATGGCCCAGGGCACAGAGCTGCTTCCATGTCAGTCAGATGGACAGATAGACAGATGCAAGGATGGTGCTGGCTGGGAGAAAGGCGCCTGACAAGGAACTGAGTGTGCCCACCCTGGAGAAGTCGCAGGGTCCCTGCATATTGAGACACTGTCACTTGGATTCTTTGTGGGGCATGGAGCCTGCTGCAATATCCAGCTCAGGAGTGAGGGGAGAGCCACCCCAAGGGGTGCAGTGTGGTACGCTCTGTGACGCCACACACAGCTGCTGGGAAGGCAGGACTGGCAGGATGTGGAGGCTGTTCTTGCAGGGGCCTGCCAGGAACCATGATCTGAAGGTGGGTAAGGAACACAGGACAGCTCGCTGGGCATGTTTTATTAGCTTGTTATTTGAGGCCTATAAAAAAACTAGTAAAGAAATAGCAGAAAGCCCAGGAGCCAGGTAAGCTGATTCAGAGGGCGTGGGCAGAGGCAGGTGCCCTGGGGGTGGGAGGGCACTGCGCTTGGAGCCAGACGCGCCATCTGCAAAGCCAAGCACAGCGTCAGACAGGGAGGTGGGAAGTGGCACCCTTGCTGAAGGACAGTCTTAGACTGGGCGGTGACACGGTGCAGACCTGCGCAGGAAATGAGGGACTGAATCCCCAAGCAAACGCTAGCAGAAGCAGAAAGGACAAGTGAAAGTCAGTGAATCTTAGTAGCGACCTTAGAGGATCGTTGCAATCAGCTTCCAAAAAAGGCTGAAGAGGACACGATGCCCTCAAGAAAAACTGCACTAAATGTGTAGCTGGGCAGGGATGGCTGCCAGAGGGCACCATGAAAAGAAGACAGGCAGCTGGGACACCCTGGAAACAAGGCAAACTGCCCCGCTCCACCCTGCCCACTGCAGTTTGCCAGCAACGGGGAGGAGAAGGCAATGAAACTTGAATGTAAGACTAGAGGTGCACCCCGAGAAGAACGCTGGCCACGTGATGTCGGGGAGCCCAGCTCCCTCGCACTACCATCCTTTACAGAAAGGGATGCTGAGGCTGGTGGCCATAGCTCCTCTGTGTGTGTGTGTGTGTGTGTGTGTGTGTGTGTGTGTGTTGCCAGGGATCAAACCCAGGGTTTCTTGCACAATGAGCAAGTGCTGTACGGCAGAGCTGCGCCTCATGCTGGGCTGAAACTTCCGAGGACAGAAGCCAAGTCACTCCTCTAACCTGCACTGAGTTGGCCCTGCTGTGCGCCAGTGCTGTGACACCTGCAGAGAACCAGATGAGGGTGTCGAAGCATGCGGCTCCCATGAAGAGAGCCCACCAAACGAGTGGTCCCAGGCATGACCGCGTCAGCCCTGGAACCTGGGCTCCCCCGGCAGAGGGCCTTGCAAGCTGCGTCTGGTGTGCTTATGCAGAATATGCAAGTATATTCACAGCAGGTATGGGTGATGAATATTCAAGCTTTGGGAAGATCCAGATACATTCCAGGTGTACCTCCAAGGTACAGCTCAGCCTCACTGAAAACGGGAGAGTCGAGCAATGTGTGGGAGGGGGATACCAGGCCCGCCCTGCTTCTGGCT